GGGACATTCCCCACTGATTCCATGGTCCTGCCAGTATTTAGCAGCATCAGCCTTTTTCATTGATGTAATCAGAGTTTGAATTTGTACTGAATTGATCACTGATGAGTCTGAGCATCTTGCAGCTGTTTATGGCTTGAGGGTTTTCTCCTCTGAGAAGGCTTTTTTCATCTACTTTCTTTCTTTTCTTTTCTTTCTTTTTTTTTTTTTTTTTAACATATTGGATATATTAAAGGCTTGGTTTCTCAACGTGTTCAAAATAGATTTTCTAGTCTGTTCTATATTTTGCAGTTTTATTGCGCCTTTTTTCACAGGATGTCTTAGCTTTTGATGTGGTTGAATTAATCACTCTTTTCCTTTAGGGCCTGGCATTTGTGTCCCACTGAAGAAGATCTTTTATTCTGGTTCTAAGAGTTCAATTAACGCTCCTTAGTTAATCAGAGTCTCTTGTCTCTGGAGGACAGCTCTACCACTGAGTTCTAGGATCCAGCTCCCAGGGCACCGTGCTCCTCTTCCTCACTCCTCCAATCAACTATGTAGAGCTCCCAACCTCTCATGCTTTACTCCAGACTTTAATATCTGTCAGTTCTCCCCTCACCCTACCCACCCCATACATACCTTAAAAACAACTTGGAACCCCAGAATGCTAGAAGGGACTTAGGGAATTGTCTAGTCTCAAACTCTTTTTTTTTTTTGAGATAGGGTCTCACTCTGTCACCCAGTCTGGGGTACAGTGGCATGATCACAGCTCACTGCAGCCTCGCCCTCCCTGGGCTCAAGGGATCCTCGCACCCTCAGCCTCCTGAGTAGAGCTGGGACCAAAGGCACATACCACCACACCCAGCTAATTTTTTACTTTTACTAGAGATGGGGTCTTGCCATGTTGCCTAGGCTGGTCTCAAACTCCTGGGCTCAAGTGATTCACCTGTCTTGCCCTCCCAAACTGCTAAGATGACAGGTGTGAGCCACCACACCCAGCCCAAACTCTCATTGTTATAGATGAGGATTAAGAGATCTAGATCTTGCTATCCAGTATGGTAGCCATTACCACTGTGCGACTTCCAAATTTCAACTTAATTAAAATTCAGAATTCAGTCACACTAGCCAAATTTCAGATGCTCCACAACCACATGTAGTTAATGGCTACTGTATCAGAGAGTGTGGGTCTAGAACATTTCCATCATTACAGAAAGTTCTAGCAGACAGGGTTGCTCTAGAGCTTCATTACTTAAAGGGTAGTCTGCTGATTGGCCTCAGGAACATAGTCATAAGTAGGAGCTAATTAGAAATAGAGATCTCAGGCTCTACCTCAGACCTACAGAGTCAATCTACAATTTAACATGATCCACAGGAAGTCTGCATGCAGATTAGAGTCTGAGAAGCCCTAAAGTCATGTGATTTTTTTTTTTTTTGAAAAGGCATACAGCTGATTGATATTCAGGCCCTTCCCTTGACCTAGCTACCACTTTCCCTAATCATCCTGTGTCCTTATTATCTCCCTGCCACATTTGCTTTCCTTTATTACAGCATTTCTTTATAAACATTTACAGGCTGGGCATGGTAGCTTAAGCCTGTAATCCCAGCACTCTGGGAGGCCAGGAATTTGAGACCAGCCTAGGCAACACAGTGAGACCTGTCTCTACCAAAACCAAAAAAATATTTACAAAGCAGCCAGGCCACTGAAGCCCTCAGAAAAAATCCCCTTCTCCGTGCCCTTACCCTCATTCTGGTTTGTGTTTGCTTGGCAGGCTTGTGATAAAGGCCCAGGCCCCCTGTGATAGCTGTTGTATTGCTCAGCACTTTCCCTGGGGAACTGCTGTTGGAGGACTGGAAATTAAAGCCAACCCTGAACCCAGTGGGGCACCAGTCATCAACCAAGCGTATGGCACACTTGGTCCTGGTGGGACAATGGCAGCATTTAGTCTTTAGGCCACAGCCCTAAGGCAGAACACACAGAGCAGACTCTGAACTTGTTTGGTCAGTGTCATATCTGGCCATCTGATTGGAGAGAACAAAGTAGGTATTGGCAATCTCCCAATGTAAGCACTGCTCAATCAGGTAATTGGTTAGCAGGTCACAAAAAGAAAGTTAATTTGGAGGATAGGGGACCGAGCTGGCCTTAAACTCAGAGAGGTCAGCTTTCAGGGCACCACCAAACTTCAGGGAGGTAGTGATGGAGGAGGTCTGATTCAAGCAGTGGTTAAAGTATGTGGGGCCCTTGGGATATAGGTTGCAATGACACGTGTTGGACCCTTGTCTCCCAAGGAGACACAGTCCAAGGGGCCCAGGGTGGCATGGTGGTCAGGACAGAGTTGCAGGGTTCCATCATTGCTGGCAACACCCAGGTGATGGGTGAATGGCCAATTCTAGCTTGGACTTCTTGCCATTGTTGAAGATGACTCCTTCATTAGCAGCAAGGTGAAGCCTGGGCTAGAGCTACTCCTAGAGTTAAGGAAGAGCATGAAGTCCTATAGTCCCATGCACTGCTTGTCGGTTTCTGCATAAACTCTAGCATAGGGTCAGGGGGTAGTAAGCAGATTATGACAGAAGCAGAAGGAGCAGGTTGGGGGGGGTTCATAATAACAAAATTCTATTTAAAGTTGTTTTTCACTGAGGATGTAGGGTGCAGTTACACAGTTGCAGGTACAGGATGTATGGGCCAGTGGGCCCTGTTTCTCAGAAAATTGGTTACAAAGATGCCAGGTGTCTCAGACTACAAAGTTCTCGGAACAGAATGCCCTACATAGCTCAGGGTTGGCAGGAGCTGGCAGGATTGTTTAAAATGTATTCACCACAGCCAAGCTAGGATATTTCAGTAGAGGATCAGTTTCTGCAAACACACTACAAGTGTCTGGCAACACTATCGTGGAGGCTAAAGTAACTCCATCTTGGATGCTAATCCACCACATTGATTTCTGAGTAACCCCAGTTTTGGGAAGGCCTCCAAGTTTTCTACTTTATCTATCATTCCTTGTATAAGAGCATGTGACAGGCTGTTCTTTGTTATGAAGAAGTATGGCTTGGTGCAGTGGCTTATGCCTATAATCCTAGCACTTTGGGAAGCTAAGGCAGGCGGATCATTTGAGGTCAGGAGTTCTAGACCAGCCTGGCCAACATGGTAAAATCCTGTCTCTACTAAAACTACAGAAAATTAGCCAGGCATGGTGGCTGTAATCCCAGCTACTCGGGAGGCTGAGGCAGGATAATTTCTTGAACGTGAGAGGCAGAGTTTTCAGTGAGCCAAGATTGAGCAACTGCACTCCAGCCTGAAACTCCATCAAAAAGAAAAAAAGAAAAAAGAAATACTTGGGACTGGGTAATTTTATAAAGAAAAGTTTTTTTCTTTTCTTTTTTTTTTTTTTTTTTTTTAAGAGACAGGGTTTCACCATCTTGGCCAGGCTGATCTCAAACTCCTGACCTCATGATCCACCCATCTCAGCCTCCCAAAGTGCTGGGATTACAGGTGTGAGCCACCACGCCTGGCCTGAAAAGAAGTTTAATTGGCTTATGGTTCTGCAGGCTATATAGGAATCATGGTGCTGGTACCCGCTTGGCTTCTGGGAAGGCTTCAGGGAGCATTTGCCCTCATGGCTGAGGGCAAAGCAGGAACAGGCATCTTATATGGCTATAGTAGGAGCAAGAGAGTGAGGGGTAGGTACCACACACTCTTAAACAACCAGATCTCACGAGAGAAATCTTCTTACTATTGCAAGGACATCATTAAGGGGATAGTGCTAAACCATTCATGAGAAATTCATCCCCAGGATCTAATCACCACCCATCAAATCCCACCCCCAACACTAGAGATCACAATTCAACATGAGATTTAGAGAGGACAACATCCAAATTATATCAGAGCACATACTTACTTACCTGCTGTTAGGTCAAAACAACCTTGGTCTGCACGAGTAACAGCACAGAGATTTACCTGTCCTGCTGCTGTCCAAGACCATGCTTCTGTCCGTAAGTTCCCTAATAAATCACCTTTTACTGACAAGTTGGATTTGTCTGTCTCATTCTTTAGTTTCTCAGCTCCTTCTGCATTTGGAGGTCACTTTGCATATATGGCCCTTTCATGAAACAACCATTAATTCCTGTAAAAATGTTTTTTATATGTTCTGGTCTTCCCTAAAATATTTTATGAATTGGATCAAACACAATAAAAAATTGATTAGTTATTACAATACCTAAGAATTTATGCGTGGCTTTCCCCTCTCTAAATTACAGAAGACACTATCCCTGTCCCAGAGGGCCTTCTTGTGTAGCTGGAAAGATACTCAATAATGTTTATTAAAATGCTATAACAATTACACAAGGCTAAGAATCTGAGTGCTATATGAGTGATAAAGACAGATTTAGAGCAGTGCTCAGAGGAGAGAAAAAGGGAGGAGAGTCAGGGACGGAGAGCAATGAACTGTGTCTAAAATAAAGGTTAATGTATTAGTGTAGGATTTATCAAAACAGGAGGCGTATTTCAATCCATTGTTTCCAAGCACCTAGAACAGAGTGGGTCCATAGTAGACACACATCAAACACAAATGGATGAGTAGTGGTGCGTGGTAAAACTAAAAAGCAGGTTGTACCTGATGGCTAAAAGACTTGAAAACAGGTCAAGAAATGGTGCCATTAAGGTTAGTCATCTCCCCTCAATAACTCTAAGTACCTAAACGCCGACTCTTTTCACCCTCCAGGCATCTAGAGAGCTGGGTGGGAGAGAAGTTGCTGGTTTTGGCCACTACTGTAACCCCAGCACCGAGAGCAGTGCTCAAATGATTGAAGGCTCCTGTGAGTCGCCCTCTCCCCTTGGCCCCGCCACCCGCGGGAAAGAGCAGGCGAGGGGTCACACAGCATCTCGATTACGGCATTTCATTCGCCACGGCACCATCTATCGGGCTCTAGCTAGGCTCTTCCAGGACTGGGCGCGCCTCGGTCCCCAGGGTGCCACCTGACAGCCAACACCGACCGGATGATGCATGAATACAGTCATTATTAAAATTAGCTACCTCCTATCTCTGTCGGGTGAGTCTCGCCAGTCCCTCTCGACTGACTGCCCGGCCCAGCGCACACACCCGGGCGCAACAGGCAGAAAGACGCTGCTGGGGGTGGGGGAGGCATGGCCAGACAGGCGCAGGCGCAGGCGTGCCGCCGGGCCATGCGAGTGCGAGGACGACGCATGCGCGGGCATCGGAGCCGCCTTAAGAGGGGCGGCGGCCCGGGACAGCCCAGTTGGCCTGTCAGCCGGCTTCGAGGCTCTCCCGGCGCTTGCGCGGCGGGGGCTATGGCGGCGGAGGAGGAGGAGGTGGACTCTGCCGACACGGGAGAACGGTAAGCGCAGCCGGCAGGGGGCAGGGGGGCTTCGTGTGTCTCCGGCGCGCGTCCTCCGCGCGGGCCGGGTTCGGGCCCAGCGGGCAGCACGAAGGACTCGCCGCCCGCCTGGCGACGACCGGCCGCTTCCTCCACCCGCCCCGGCAAGAGCCCGCGCGGCGCCCAGAGGCGTCCCGGCGCCGCTCTACCCAGGGCAGGCTCCCGTCAGCGCCAGGGCCCCGAGATATCTGAGCCGGACTCTGGCCGCGCGGGGAGGCCACCTTGACCCCGCGCGGAGTGTCCTCCCGGTTATTGTGTCAGCCGCCCCGGCTCGGGCTCTGCCAAGGGACCCGGCCTGCTCCTATGCGGCCGGCGGGCGGTGCCCGGCCGACCCTGCACTTGACTGCGAGGGGCGGGAAATGGCCGGGTCACTCTATCCGCCTCCCAGCGCGGCTTCTGTCTAGGTACTACCTGTGCTCTGTCCAGCCTTGGCCGCTGGGCTATCCTTCCAGAAGCCGGAGGAAGGGGCGGCGCTTCTTTGGGGGAGGATTAGACCGAGGCCCGAATTCGCTTGGCGAGCGGCGGGAGGGCGGGGGTGCCGGGAAGGAGGGAGGGGGAGAAGGAGTTAGGGAAGTGGGTGTATGGCTGTGGGTTCAGATGCTTCATAGAAACAAAATTAGCCCTTAAGATAGAGATACCAGGTTCAAATGTGGTAATTCATCTTTCGGATGAAGGTCTTTATCTTCAAAGCTCCACTGTCCCTTATTTGTTTGCGCGTCTGGGATTATTCTGGTTTTACTGGAGAAGGCACTTGCATGTGCCTTAGAGGAACACACATAACATATAGGAAACTGGAAGTTGCAGGGCAGATGTCTAATGTGAAACTTCTTGATGTACAGGTATAGTGAGTTTATTCTTTTCTACACCTAAATGACTTCTTGCACTTGTTAGTAGAAGAATAGTAGTTAAGGAGTGGAATAATTAAATTGTTTTGAAGATTATTGCCTTGTTTCTCAAGGCCTGTCATTTATATTGAAAGTAAACTTCTACACTTCCCCCATATATATTCAAGTTCTCGATACCGATTCTGCTTCAGACGTCTGGAGAAATTTGCCTAGGAAACATAACCTAAATGATAGACTATGAAATACCATGAAGACAGGGATATTTGGAAAGATGTATGGGGAAAACTTGTGAAATATTAGAAACAAAGTTATTCTCTTGAGTTTTGTTTATTTGATGAATGACTCCACTGTTGAGGTTTGTGGATGAACTTCCTGTTGAATGTTAGGTGGACGCAGTAGGAACCTAATTGGTAGGTTGTGTTCTCATCTGGTTTGTCACAACATTTTTGACTCTTGACACTACTTTCAGGTGGACTCTTTGGTTTTGGTGTTGTGGGGCCTGAGAGTCCAGGACACAACCTGAAAGGGTTTTCTGGCTTTGATTGATGGTTGGAGGTCACTGGAAGTAGATGATTAAAAAAATCCTTAGCAGCTGATCAGCCATAGTTTCTAGACAGAGAAACTATTCTTGGCAATACGCTTTAGCAGTGTCCAGCGACTATACTGGTATGTCCTGAATGTCCCAAGCAGGCAAGCAGAGAAGGTTAAGCCTCTGCCCCTCCTGGGTGTTCCCCAGAAGTAATCCTGTTAATTCTAAGGTTGACCCTGTGTGCTGGGTATTATTGTTCCCATTTTGCAGTTGAAACTGCCTCTGGAAACGCTTTAACAGCTTGCCAGCAAGTAGTAGGGCTGGATTGGAACCCTTTGAGGTGTCTGGATTTAATCTGAGGTGCTTTTTCCTGTATCTCTGCTGCCTGTCACTGGAATTGGGACTCCTGTGGGATGTTTGGCTCTTGTTTTGAATACAATTCCCTACCCTTAAGACATTTGACGTTTAGATAGGGAGATGACATTAACAAAGGAAAGTTATAAAATGGTCACCTGATGGCTTTTTGGAGAATATGATTCTTGTCTTTTACTTTGTAGCACTTAGTGAAGATCCGCATCCTGGGGATCCATTTTGCTTTCAATATCCAACCTCTTTCAGTTGCAGTACCGTTGAGAAAGCTAAATGTAATGAGAGTAGGGTAGACTTCTGTGAATTGCTTTAAGTTGTCCTAGAGAATGATTAAGTGTCAGTTGAGAGAAAGCTGTCACAGAATTGCCCATTTGCAGGGTAGACCATAAAAGAGGTGATTTGCGATTGTATGCTGGAGTTGATTTGTACCAACAAGACATTGCTGTGTTTTCAGGAATTTTGCCAACTGTTGGCAGCTTGAAATTGGCCATGGTGGGAGTATTTACACGATGGAAATAATCAAATGCTATAAATAAGGTATAAATAAGGGATTTTTCTCTCCCCTCCCAGCTTCAGTCTGTTTGCCAGCTCCTCTCTGGGTTTACATTAGAATGTGAATGTAGGTCTTTGCCTTGGAGATAGGAGAGTGGATTTCTCTATCTAATCTTTTTAAAAACTGGCAAGTTATGTGCCTTTCTCTCTGCTCCCTTCTTTCCTTCCCAAATCATTGCCACCTCATCTTTAAAAAATCACAGAACTTTTCACTGCCACATTCCAATGGCCTTCTAGTTTTTTCAGCTCTTCTTGGGTCCTTTTTGGTGTTTGTTACTGTAATGATAGCTACTACTTTTTGAAACTCTTATTAAACGTTCTAGGTCTTAATTACATTTTGCCTTTTATCTTAACTTACCTGAGACCTCTCTCTCTTTTTTTCATTCTCTAAATGTAGTCATTTTCCAAGATTGTCATCATCCTTGTTTTTATGTTTTGTCTTGTTTACGCAAACTTCTTAAACTATTTTGTCTATGGAGATGACTCAGATCTCATTCTTCTTCTGGAGCCCGCTTCTGTACTCTGATGTTTCTAATGGTCAGATGTTTATGTCTGATTCCTCAAAATTTAATGTGTCCAGACTATGACCTTATTTTCTACCGTCCTGCTCCTAAACGATATAAAAAGCTCAGTTCTTCCTCTTGAAACATTATATTGGCTTAAGCATTGCCTTGACTGATTGTTAGATTATTAGTCTAATCTCATGTTTCTGTAATTCCCACTCCTGATTGTGAGTGATTAAAAAAGTCATGTGGAGAAATGATTTTATTAAAACTGATTGTTCAGTTTGAGACCTAAAATTTTTAGTTTTAGTCCCTTTATCATTTTGTGAATGAACTTATTTTAGAACTGATGCAAAGAAATGTCACTGACTTGTTAAGTAGAGTACACATGTGGCTTCTTCAAGTATGTTCGATAATGAGGTCATATAAGTGATTCTAAAATGGTTTGTTTACTGTGTGAAGGAAGGTTAGGAAACGGGGGAGATAAGTGTTACCAGCATGTGGCTTGTCTAAAACACTTATACTACAACTCTGAGTCTTTAAAAGTTACAGGTTAGGAGCTGGTGGCAGGGGTCGGCAACTAAAAGACTGTTATTAATGTGTTAACATATATTGGAGGGCCTGTGTTGTCATTGATCTAATGGTGATAATTTGAATCACTTAAATATCATTTATCTAAAATAAAATGGCATGATAGTCACTTAAATTGTAACTGTATGAGACCATATTCTTTTTTTTTTTTAAGAGACAGGTTCTTGCTCTGTTGCCCATGCTGGAGTGCAGTGGCACAATCATAGCTTACTGCAGCCTCAACCTCCTGGGCTCAAGCAATCCTCCCACCTCAGCAACTTGCCCCTCACACCCCATTCTCTCCCAGGATGCTGGGACTACAGGCATATGCCAGGCATCTGGTCTTGACCTCCTGACTGAGCTCAAGCAATCCTCCTGCCTCAGCCTCCCAAATATTCTTTTTGTCGTTTTTCTTTCTCTTTCCCAAGAATAGGATTTAAAAAGTCAATTCACAAGAAAGGGCTTTATTTACCCAAGTGTTACAATTCCCAATTTGGAAATTTTTAGTCTTTAGTTGAGGAAGTATTTCAGATAAATATAAATGTAAATATATATACATATTCATACCTCTAATTAATTTGGATATTTATAATAAAAATCAAAGCCTCATGGCTTCTTTAAATGAGGTAGAATACTGTGCTTAGGTTAGTTTATCAAGAGCAATAATAATTTTATATGATTTTTTTCTCTTAACTGTACCAGAATAGGAATGGAGGCCATTTTAAACAAAGTTGAATGTAGTGAAATCCTCTTTACTTATAACCTAATTAGAAATGTTATTTAAGTGGCCAAAACTGTGTGGAAACTGGCCAGATTTCTGCATATTTTCTTCAGAATACTTTGAAACCTCTTTCACTGTTTCATAATATTTATAGATTATGCAATTCAGGTTTAGTAATGCTATAGATAGTCAGATATATTAAATAACAAAACAGAGATTACCAGGAAACTTACATGTTGATGATGTGGAGTACAGTATGATGTAATTTTTTTTTTTAAAGATTAGGTAAGAAGTTAAGGAGAAAAGTGTTGTCAGTCTCTTGCTCAGGATACTTAGAATCAGATTCTTAGATAAATATACTCTGTTAATATGTTAAGCACATCTTACCTGGCTTTCCTTAGAATTGCCACCTCCGATGTGATCTTTTAAAATGTTTCTTACTCAAAAGTCTCACTATAAAGATTCTCAGTTTGCACTACAGTGGTTATAAAACATGAATCATTTTATTTTTTTGTTTTTAATTCTGTGATTAGATGCTTTAGGGCTTATATCTTTTGCCTCACTAATAAGGTAAGTGCCCAACTGACGGGGCTCTGTAGAAAACTTTCTGGCTTGCATTGGTAAGCTTTCCCTATGTCATAGATGCTTACTATTAGAAAGCTATAGTCCCTGTGGTGAGTGGCTTTTCTTTGTATTACAGTTGACACTTTGGTCACTGTTGAATTTAGACCTCAGTGATAGATGATAGTGTTTATTGCTTATCTCCTTAAATAAAATAGAGAAGTTAGGTTTTGCTTGTCTATTTTTTTCCAAAGCTATGAGGAAGAGGCATTGAATCTAATTTACTGTTTTATAGGTGGGCTGTGTGAATTTATTTTTTGCCTTGAATTTTTGTGACCTCAGCTTGTGTGAAAGCTGACAAGCTGCAGTCCTGTGTCCTTAGTTCCAGTTTTCTATATATTAAACCTAGGAATGCTGAACAACACTGAATGGCATAGGATACACTGGGGAAGGGGCAAAGGGCCTTTTTATTTACCCCAAAGACAAGAGATAGAGTTGGATGAGTAAGTTTTAGAGGGTTGAAGCAATAGAGATTGCAAGGTAAGGTATGGGACCTTTGAACAAACAGGAATCAACTAAAGGATGGAAAAAAATAGGCCCTAGCTTTTTACTCATTGGAAATGTTCCATGGAGACTATTGTATACATAACACAATCCTGTAGAGTGTCTCTAAGAAAGAAGTAGAAGATAGTTTCTGTAAAACATTTAATCATCTGGTTAAAGTAAAACTGGATAGAAACATTGTCAGGGCTTAGGGGAAGAGTGCTATCTTTACAATTCCATTAAGAGTGAAAATATCTTGCTATGTTTTGTTAAATATGTATTTTTCTGTTTAAATATACTTTAGAAAAAAAAAACTCACTTTAAAGAAATCACCGTTTTGATGAAAATGCTTCTGTGAAAACCTGAAGAGAGTTGGTGCCTATTCTTATGGTTGAAGATCTCTGCTTTTTAATGTAATGCACTAAGCTTACAAACATGAAAACATGTTTTGCCCCTTCTCTGAGTTGAGCTGGTCACTAGGAGGTAAATCCATGGACAGACAGTCCTACTGTTTGAAAGTTGGTTTTGTGGAAAGTGGTAAGTTGGTGGAGATAGGCATGATTCTTCCATTACAGGCTGATATGTAACTTTATAAACTCTGGTGCTTTGTACATAGTAGGTATTCAGAGTCTGAATTATTTTATGAATGTCATTTTTTTAAAAAAAAAGATGAAACAAAGAATACATTTGTGTTTTATTTGTCTGTAATATCAGTTGGAGCAATAGTATAGTTCATTTCACTGTAATTTTTTTTTTAATTGACCTCTGATTCTCTGTGGCAAATAATTGTGATGTGGTTTGAGGGATGTTTGTTTAAGTCAGTGGATGAAGTTGAGTTGTAAGTAATTTCTTGTTGGTACTACTTCATATTTTTATGGTTAAATATAGACCTAATTCCTGGTCAAGGACAAAAGAGTTTTATGTTAATGATAGTTTATTATTTTTAACCTCTAAAAATCATAAGATTCTTTTATTTTAATGGCCTGTGTATTAGTCCATTCTCATGCTGATATAAAAAACTACCTGAGACTTGGTAATTTATAAGAGCTATGCAAAGCCATAAAGACACATAATCCTGTGAAAATTTGAGAGCTATGAGGTACTAGAAAAAGTACAATGTATAAAAGAAAAGATGGGATGGAGGTAGGCTGTGGATGGATTGCAAAGTACCTTCTGTGCAGGTCTGAGAAAATAAAGACTTTATCCAGTAGGTAATGGGCAACTCTTCAGACATTTTAAGGAAAGTAGTCATTTGAGAAGAAAGCACTTTGGAATGCTCAGAATCAAACTCAAATCTCTACTTGTGTCATTAACTTACTAGTTGTATACTCTTGGACTTGATGCTTAACATTTCAGAGCTTCAATTTTTACATCTATGAAAAGGGGATAATTTGGACTGAGAATACCCTGGATTATGGAGTGACTTAATCATTCAGCAAACATTATTTATTGAGCACCTGTTATACATAATATCCAGATAAATTCTATAGGGAAGGGATATATTGTAGGATGAACCTACAAAGGTTAGAAAAGCTGGATGTTGAATCACAACGCTTCCAAAACTTAGCCATTTTCCTACTCACACCTCTTGTGTTGTCTATCATTATAGTGGTACCCTAAGACAGAAGCCTGGGAACTCTTATTATACCTTTTTTATATCCAACCAATTATCAAATCCAACCTGTTTTCCTTTTAAATATTCTTTGACCACATCTTCTTGTCTCTATCCCTATTGCCAAAGCCTTGGTTTGAGCCCTTACCTCTCATCTGGACTCTGCTCTAGTTCACTTTTTTAATTCATTTGTTTTTCATCAGAAAGTTCTCATTTTAAATAATATCAGCCATGTGCTGAGCCCTTGCTGTCAAATGACTGCTGAGGCCCTACATTATTATAATAAGCTTTTGGTTTGTGGCTGCAAGGCCAGGAGTTGAAGGCTCACCCTCTCCTTTGTTGGCTACAAGCAAAGTATGTCAGTTCCAGCCTCCCCATGCCTTTCCTCACTGGTTGCCTCAGATCTGCATCTTTGTTCTTTCTTGTGCTGTCTTCTGACAGATGCTTTGGTCATTCTATTCATCTACTGTTTGCTGAAATCCAAAGCTTTTTATATTTCTATTAACAGTTAACCAGGTCACCCTAAGCAGAGTGTACACAGGCCAGACCCCCACATTTGTGTTAGGGATATGTGACTACTCTTACAAGATTTGAAGCCTTTTTTCCCACAAAAAAGATTTTAATAAGGTGTCTCTTTTCTCAACCCCCATAGAGGTACCTTTTATATTCACTTTGAAACTATCATTCAAATAAGTCTACTCATGGCTTTAACTTTTTCACACTTCTACCCCAATAAGATCCTGTCTTGCAGTGCGGGGGTTGCGGTTTTTGTTTTCTTATTCTGCCCATTTTATCCTTTTTGTTTATTTGGAATCTGACTATCTATGAAGATAAGATGGACTTTGAGATCTACTTGTAAGTACACAGGCTGAAGTTGAATATCTGTATCCCAGTACTTACCACCATGCTATGTACATAATAGGTCACTTTTGTCACACATAGCTTCACCATCACACAGGTAATTTTTTTCCTGTGCTGCTTTTCTTCTGAGCATGTGACAATTGGGAGTTGAGAATAGCATAAACTCATCTCTTTGTATTTTGTTTTTTTGTGCTCTAGGTTAGGATGGCTAACTGGTTGGCTTCCCACATGGTGCCCTACGTCTACACTACACCTTAAAGAAGCTGAAGAGAAGATGTTAAAATGTAAGGCTTTCTTCTTGTAAGTTACAATGAACTGTGTACTAAGATAGGTCTAATATATCTCATTGCCCTGAAACTGGAGATAAGATTCTGTGGTGTGTTTATTGTTTGCAGTAGAACTTTTTTCCTTTTCCATGTCATTAGCAAGTACAGAAATGTTAGGGGCTGGTGGTTAGGAGTTCTAAAACGTTTTGGTCTTGGGCCCCTGTTATACTTTTAAATTAGTAAGGACCCCAAGGAGCTTTGTTTATGGGCTATCAATATTAATCATTTCTAATTCAATTAAAAGTTAAAATTGAATAATAAAAAATGTTAATTTATTAATTTATTTAAAAATAATAGTAACAAACCCATTACAGGTTAAAATAAATAATGTTTGCACCAAAAAAAACACACAAAAAAATACTTCCAAAAAAATCATAATGAGAAGAGTAACCTTGTTTATATGTTTACAAATCTCTTTAATGTCTAGTTTGACTTAAGGCTGCTAGGTTGTCATATCTGCTTCTGCTTTCAGTCTGATGGGTAATCACATAGGTGACTTGTAGAAAACTCTACTATATACTACTTAGTAGAGAATGAGAGTGAAAACAACAAAGTCTTAGTATTATAAATGTTATGATGAAAATGGTTTTGACTTCCTGGATCTCCTCAAAGTCTCAGGGATCCTCCCCCCCGCCCCCAACTACGCTTGAGACTATGCTTTGAGAACAGGTTCTAGGTGTTTCAGAGCAAGCAGCCTGTATGGTGGGAGAAATACTAAACTGGACCCAGGTAACTTGGTCTAGGCCCAGATCTGCCACTGGTGGTTATAAGATTTTAGACAAGTCACTTTGCTCAGCTTCTCATTTCTTGTGAAATGAAGGGATAGGATGGTCCTTAGAATTTCTTCTAGTTCTAGCATTCTAGGATTCTGTATTTATAGTGGTATGGAAGCCTTTTTTGTTTCCTTCTTATGAGCACTGAAATTTATCCAAACTTGTACCATCAGGACATTCCAAGGTATCTGTGGGTATAGTTCTAAGCAGTGGTATTTATTGTGCAATTTGATTCTGCTGATACTATTTAAGGGAGTGGATTCAGTAGTGCAGTTCATATTCATGTGTTATTTTGTATGTATGTGCAGATGTTTGTCCATGCCTGTTTTTCTTTTTTTTGAGACAGAGTTTCGTTTTTGTTACCCAGGCTGGAATGCAATGGGGCAATCTTGTCTCACCGCAACCTCTGCCTCCTGGGTTCAAGCAATTCTCTTGCCTCAGCCTCTCGAGTAGCTGGGACTACAGGCATGTGCCACCACACCCAGCTACTTTTTATATTTTTAATAGAGATGGGGTTTCACCATGTTGACCAGGATGGTCTCAGTCTCTTGACCTCGTGATCCACCCGCCTCGGCCTCCCAAAGTGCTAGGATTGTAGGCATGGGCCACCGTGCCCGGCCCCACGCCTGTTTTTCATTCTCTTTACCACTAATAAATTTGTTTGTGCATTTTAATGATTCAGGAATAAGTGACCATAACTGGATATATCCTTAGGAAGGGATAGTTAGCCATCTTACATGGATTTTTTTTTTTTTTTTTCGAGTTGGAGTCTTGCTCTGTCACTGAAGCTGGAGTGCAGTGGCATGATCTCGGCTCACTGCAACCTCTGCCTTCCGGGTTCAAGTGATTCTCCTGCCTCAGCTTCTCAGGTAGCTGGGATTACAGGCACCCGCCACCATGCCCAGCAAATTTTTGTATTTTTAGTAGAGACAAGGTTTCACCATGTTGGCCTGACCTCAGGTGATCCACTCGCCTTAGCCTCCCAAAGTGCAGAGATTACAGGCGTGAGCTACCGTGCCCGGTCGTTACCTAGATTTTAACAAGAGAATTAACTTCTATTCTATATACTTCGGTAAACTTGCTCTCTACAAAACTGAGAAAGTTTTCATTGTGATTTACTAAAATAAAAAAATTCTTACCAGAAGATAAAAAGGAATGCTAGAGTCTCGATTCATACATTTAACAAGCATGTTGATTCCCTACCTTGTGGTTCTAGGGATTCAAATAGGAGTGTGAATTAGTCTCTGCTTTAGTGTCAGACATGAAAGTAAGCTACTAATTTGGTGGGATGAATTCTGTAATAGATGTTACAGATGGTTTTTATGGGAATATACAGATGTATGTATTCAAAATGCTGAAGTGGTTTGGCTTGGCACATAAGCCAAAGTATCCCCTTTTCTAAACTAGTGGCATTTTCCCCAACTTGAGGGCATGTGCTCTGTTTAATATTCTGAATGAATGTTAGGTTTCTTCTTTGCTGCCACTTTGTGGATACAAAACCTGAGATTATTTCTTTGGTTATAAGGCAGAAACTCCTGTTTCTCTAATGTTTTGTCTACCACATATGAATATGCATAAATAATTAAGGGGTATATCTAAAGTGCAGCATTCAGTTAATAATTAAATAGAAATTAAATTTAGTTTCATTTTTAAGTTATGTTTTGGAGTGTTTAAATTATTTAGTCCCACAGCATTGAAGGTAAAAAAGAGTTTTGATCTATAAAATTGTGATTATTTGCTTTTCCTGGGAGATTGCTAGAGTCGGACTCAAATTACGAAGTGTGTCATGCTGAGGAGTTCCTACAATAGTCTGTCAACTTTTTTTTTTTACTAAACTTTGAAATGACTTAAGATTTCACTTATGTGTTTAATATAGATACCATTAATCCATCCCTAAATTCACGATTACTTTTTAAGGAAAAATAATGACTTTGAGTCCAACTTCAACTCAAAGTTAACAAAAGAATACCACCTTGAAATTGTGGAACATTTGCATATTCTACAAATTGTCTGTAAAGCTAGAGACCTTAAAATAATGGATTCAGTAACCACTAAGTTCCTCTCCACTTCTAGGAGTATAATACCCTTATTTGATAGATGTGGAAAGAAGTCAAAAGGTAATATGACTTGCCAAAGACCTTGACCACAGGTTACTTGAGGCTTGTCTGAGGTAGGTCCTCCCCCTTAGGTATAAAACACGGTCATTTAGAATTATTTACTTCAATAAAATATGTGCATTTTAAAAATAGCTGACAATAAAGGCTAAAATCATGAGATTGGATACTTGATGGTTTGTAATATTTGGTTGCTCTGATAATACTTCTCAGAAGTAATAAAATGAAACAGAATTTCTCTTTTATTTTTTATTAGGTGTCCCTTGCACATACAAAAAGGAACCTGTTTGTATATCTAATGGAAATAAAATATGGACACTGAAGTTCTCTCATAATATTTCAAATAAGACTCCACTTGTCCTTCTCCATGGTTTTGGAGGAGGTCTTGGGCTTTGGGCATTGAATTTTGGAGATCTTTGCACCAACAGACCTGTCTATGCTTTTGACCTATTGGGTTTTGGACGAAGTAGTAGACCCAGGTTTGACAGTGACGCAGAAGAAGTGGAGAATCAGTTTGTGGAATCCATTGAAGAGTGGAGATGTGCCCTAAGATTGGACAAAATGATCTTGCTTGGGCACAACCTAGGTGGATTCTTGGCTGCTGCTTACTCGCTGAAGTACCCATCAAGGTAAGTGACGGTGACAGAAGAGAGGGATTATAACTGTGCTTCCTAGTACCAGACTCTAGTTCCCATCTTTGGTGGTTGTTAGTGTCTGAGCCTTACAAGACAGACGTTCTCTTAAAGGACCCTGTAGACCAAACCACAACTGATGACCAATATAGTAGCCGACATAATGATGTCAGATCTTCCTATTACACATGCTACACGTTAATAGGCTTGGGAAAGGACTTTCTATTTGTTAAGCTTAGAATTGTAGAAACTTTAATGTATAATTTTAAGCCACAAGTAAAAATAATTTATTATAACTATCATTAAACCTGTGGATCCAGCAGGCTTTGGCTAATGTTTTCTAAGTTATAGTAAACTGTAAGGGGAAACCAGAAGGTTAGAAAATCTAGCACTAGGTGCTAGTGCTAGCTTTATGACTTAGAGCAAATCACTTACCCTCTAACCTTTAGTTTTCTTTTATCTAAACTATAGAAAATATAACTTCATAGTATATATCCCAGGGTTTTTTATTACACCATGCCCTAACCTTTCTCATTATAAAACGTAGAATTAATGAGAATTTGCTTCAAAGTCTTTCCAGCATCATCTTCTTTCTTTATCTTTTATTTTTTCTTCCAAGTGACGCAATCTCGCCTATCACCCAGGCTGGAGTGCAGTGGCATGATCTCGGCTCACTGCAACCTCCACCTCCCGGGCCCAACCTCAGCCTCCCGAGTAGATGGGACTATAGGTTCATGCCACCACACACAGCTAATTTTTGTATTTTTAGTAGAGATGGGGTTTTGCCATGTTGTTCAAGCTTATCTCGAACTCCTAAGCTCAGGTGATCCACCCGCCTTGGCCTCTCAAAGTGCTGAGATTACAGGCGTGAGCCACTGTACCCAGCCTCTTTACTTTATTTTTAAATGCTATTTTCTATTATTTATGTTACTACTCTGAGAGAAGGGCACATTTAACTGCTGAGAAAATAGGAGAAAAATTCGTCTTTGTTTTGCTCATCTTTTGGAAAGAAATAACAAAGGAAAACGGCATTTTTGTGTTGCCAATGTGTTTTTCCATTGGACTAATTTTTAAATCCAAAATTACAACTGATTTTTACTTTGAGGTCTGTAAGTGAGACATGGGATGATGGTAATTTCAGAGTGCCTGTATGTACCTATAAGATCGTCCCATGGTGTAACTCTAGGTGTGTGTTCAACACAGAATTTGATGTGAGAAGCAGCAGCTCTGTGTACCTGAGGTTCTCTTGCTCTGGAACAGCCACTTTTTCTCTATACAGTCTTTATCTAAACTTTAGCATTTACACCTGATTTTTCTGATCTCATAGTCCTATATGTGCTAGACAGTAACAGTCCTGTCAACTGGCTGACCTGTTTCTTTAAAAAGAAACCCAAATTTTCTTCTCCTGGTTGGCATTTTGGGGTTACTTTCTTTTATTGTGTCCTACTCTTAGTGACAAACACCTATCTGTATTTATGGTGAAAGGAGAAGGAAGTAGATGCTTTTCTGGTACAGTCAACAGGGCTATTTGTGGGAGTTGAAATTCCTTTGTTTTTTATCATGTTTATTGCGTCTGTGTCTGTCTTGTATTTATTCGCTAGTGATGTGACATTGGAACTCTGCAGGATAGACTTTGGTCCTTAAGCAGTTAGTCTTAGAATCCTAACCCTTCATAGCTCTCTACCGATAAGGTCAGTTGGTAAGAGTTTCATTTGCAATTGTGAACTTCTCTAAAGAAATAGGGTGGCTTCAGGGATTCAGAAGGGAATCAACACTCTAAAAACATCTATAAAAGAGAATAGCAAAAGGTATCTAAAAACAAAGCTAGTGATTGGTTTTTAAATGTTTGCATCTAATGCTAGAAACAAAACTAGCGTACTGTGTCAGGACCAAGAATAATAAGTAGTAGCAGTAGATGGATAAGAGAATGCTTGAAATAATTAGCCTGTCTAAATTTGGCTGGTTGCCAACAAAATTTTGAACTGTACAGAGTGTGTTTAATATTCAAGCTTATGTTCTTTGCAGCATAAAACTTAAATTATTAAATACAAGTTAACTTCAAAAAAATGATGTTTTCTGGATTTGCAAATATATCAAATTGTGATTATGTCCAGTCAGTCAGAACACCATGGTTGTCACATAATGGCTGCCTAGTAAATGTTTCTTGAATAGTTGATTTTGCAAAAGAGAATTATAAGCTAAGTTCACCTTTTAGCTTACAATTGTATGTTCTTTTCTCTGTTCTTTTTCCATTTTGCATAGAAGTATCAAGAGAGAGGAGCTGGTCATATCTTACCTTTCTAATTTATTTTTGGGAAAAAATTAGTTTCAGATATGCAAGCATAAGCAGGCAGATATTTCAATTTTATGCCTTTTGCTTAGTTAATCTACATCTTAAGTTATTATATCATAAAAACAACTTACAGTGGAAATGAAGAGATCATTCTATATGTATGTGTGAGAGAAAGATATTAGTGAGGGTGTTTCTTCTAATATTTACATATATATATAACATATGAATATTTTACAGAATTAAACAAATTGACCAGCCATTTAAACCAACAACTTTAGTTTAGAAGTGTATTAAATCTACTAAATCAAAGTAAAATTTTATAGTTTATTTTTTTCTTCCCGTTCTAATAGACCAGATAATACCCCATTGTAGCACATAACATAGGAAGACCAAAATTAACAATCTCATGGGCTTCCCCTTCTCCCTAGCTTTTTTCCTTCATTGCTTTTCAGGATGACTTCCCTGGAAGCACTTCTCTTTAAATGGAGAGGACAGGGAAAAATGAGTATCTCTTGTGTTTTCTGCAAGGTGCATCATCTCCTTTGGTACCCTTGGGTCTTGCTATCCACATGTATATTCATATTACGAATAATGTTGCTTATGTTTGTTAATTTTTTACTTAAAAGGAATTTTTTTCTGCTTAATCCTGGTTGGGCAAATTTGTACAAATTTGCATAGATGATCTAATAGTTAATAGTTCAGTAGACTCACAGATCTAAACATTAAACAGGATTAAGCAGGATTGAGTACTATAAGTGTTCACCATTATAGCAAACTTCATATTAAGTGAGGTTTAGTGTTTGGTGTTTCTTAAAGTTGGCATTCCCACTAAGCAGATGGGATAGTTGTCAGGGTTGCCTTCTGTGTGATCTGGAATGTTTCACCTGAGCTAGAGAAGCTTCTTTGCAGCACACACACATTTTCTCTAGTGCAATAGAGCAATCCACTTGTTATCAACAAGCAGGTACTGAACTGACTAGTCAGTGCCTCATCCAGCTTGTTTTTGATCCAGTAGCATTTTTATTATGCTGTCATGAGATTGAAATGAATCTTTGAATTTCAGAAAGACTTTCAGTGGGTGGGAGAGGTGCGGTGAGAGGAGGGAAAAAGTGGTCTGGAGATCAAGTGAAATTCAGATCATTGCTTACACTCACTGTGCCTCTTTTGTCTCTCTCTTTTCGATAATGGACTTTGAGAATGTTACCTTTCTTTTTCTCTTAGAGATGGAGTCTTACTCTGTTGCACAGTCTGGAGTGCAATGGCACAATCATGGCTCACTGCAGCCTTGACCTCCTAGGCTCAGTAATCCTCCCATGTAGCTAGTACTAGGTGTGCCACCATACCTGGGCAACTTTTAAAATTTTGTGTAGAGCTGGGGGTCTCACTGTGTTGCCCAGGCTGGCGTCAAATTCCTGGCCTCAGATGATCCTCCTGCTTCCAGAATTGCTGGGATGAGCCACTGCACCTGACTGAGAATGTTACCTTTTCCTTTACTTCCTCAGGTGTTGCAAATATAATTTTTATTTTTTTTCTTTTAAGTAAAATGACGGCTCCTTACTTCAGTTTTATGCATGGAGGGAAAAAACACAAAAACAATGTTTTTTTATTTGTTGAGACTTAGTGTTCTCTCTCATACCCATTTCAGTCCTTGTCTTTTATGGGCAGCTGCATTTTTCCATTTGTTACTTTTATAGGACAGTTGAGGAGAAGAATGAAAATGTCTAGTTTAATGTACCTGTTTAAGAAGGATTCTTACTCTAAAGAACAAATAAAAGCTGATCAATTTTTGCCAACTTTTGGTACATTAGGTCAGTGTGGGTGGATCATTTCTGTGAGCAGCAAAGTGCTGCTGTCCAAAAAGGTCATTTTATAGCCTGACTTGTGGCAGTGATTCCATATTTTCATCAGAACTTGATGCTGATTAAAAACTGAATATTAAACAATTGTGATACTTTATGTAAAAGTACCTGGATGATTCTTCCATTGAAATATTGGTGGTGAATGAAATACTCTTAATATTGTATTCCAGTAGGTTTGTTGTATTCGAATAATGCTGAGTGACTTTGCGTTTTGAGCCATTTTGTTTTAATCCTCTTCTTTACAAAGAAAATGTCTAAAGAGGCAGCTCAGCTCCGGTCACATTATAAATTTAAGCAGTTCTTTTAAAAACAGATGGTATTAACACACCTTAATTAAAATAATGACCCTGTGCTTCATCATGTTCTTTGTTCATTTGTCATATATATGCCTGGTATAACCTTTGTGCTGGACTCAGTGGTGGGCAGTAGACAGCAAAGCTAGAATCCCTTTGTGTATAAGGCTTTCAGTGTATTGGGGGAAGGTACACAAATTAAATAACCACACAAGTAGCATGACAGTTGTGTCAAATGCTGTAGCAGAAAGGTGGGTGGTGAACTCCCGAGAACTCTTGATGAGAACCTGACCTAGTCTTGGGGTCTAATATGGTACCTAAAGAAGTGTAGCTTGGGCTGAGGTCTCAAAAGGGAATAGCAGGTAACAGAAGTGCATTCTAGGCAGTGGGACAGAAATTGTGAAGGCCCTATGCTAGGCAGATGCTGGGGCCATTCTGGAAGGGCATATGGCTGGTGGGCAGAGAAGTTATGAACTGATTAGTAAATGACTCTAAATGAGGGCATATCCCCCATGCTTCTTCCCAAAAAATAACTTTAGTTCATCTCAGTTCTCTTGCCACAATAGTTAGATATGCCATCTATAATATCTTTAGTAGATTAATGTGTAGGATCACTCACTGTGTGAGATATCTTGGGCTACCATTCTGTAAAACCTTCTGTTCATAAGGAAGTCATAAGGAAGACTAAAGTAGCAGTAATAGCCATGTATACTGTTACTTTTCTTTCATGTCTGCCCAGTTTTTGTTTTTCTTTTTTTTTTTTTTTTTCAAGGCAAAGTCTTGCTCTGCAGCCCAGAGCTGTAGTGTAGTGGCATGATCGTGACTCACTGCAACCTCCACCTTCCGGGTTTAAGTGATTCTCTTGCCTCAGCCTCCCTAGTAGCTGGGATTACAGGGGCCTGCCATCATACCTGGTTAATTTTATATTGTTGGTAGAGATGGAGTTCCGCCATGTTGGCCAGGCTGGTCTCGAACTCCTGACCTCAAGTGATCCACCCTCCTCAGCCTCCCAGAGTGCTGGGATTACAGGCATAAGCCACCTGCACCCGGCCCAATTTTCTCTTTTAATTTTCCTTTCCTTCTGGCCCCTGCTGCCCAGGACCCCATACAAACACTGTGTTTTGAAGATATTTGTTATAAACTAAGGAAAACGAGATTCTAGTAATTTTAACTTAGAAAGTGTTTAGCAAAGAGATCTATTCCAAGTAGGATAGGTTATGACTAGTCTTTATTTCTCTTGTAAAAGGTTTTTAGATAATTTTATCTTGAACACTTTTCTTTTGCCTGGCTCTGTCTTCTGATTGTACAGAACTGACCTGAGCAATTTTTGTTGCCCCCCTGCTGTTCTAGGAAAAGCTATTCTACTTGAAGTTGGAGGTATTTAGTTTGTTGTTCTCTGGCCCTTCCCTTTTCTCCCTCCAGTGGCTTGGAGCCAATGGGAAATACCTTGGGCTAACTTCATTTTGCAAATGCCTCCTTTGTGCATTGACTAGAATTCTTTCTGATCATTTTAAGACTCCCTTATACATTTTGATTCTAGGTCTGATTTTCCTGAGACATTGTCTCCCTCTGTTGCCCAGGCTGGAGTGCAGTGTCACGATCTCGGCTCACTGCAACCTCTGTCTCCTGAGTTCAAGTGATTCTCATGCCTCAGCCTTCTGAGTAGTTGGGATTACAGGGTGCACCACCACACCCGGCTGATTTTTTGTATTTTTAGTAGAGACAGAGTTTCAACATATTGGCCGGGCTCATCTCAAACTCCTGGCCTCAAGTGATCCACTTGCCTCAGCCTCCCAAAGTGTTGGGTTTACAGGTGTGAACCACCACGCCTGGTCTGATGGTTGTTCTTATTGCAGTATTTCTGACTGGTGGCTGTCTGTAAATCCCATTGAAGGTCAGGCTTACCTACCCTTGTTAGCATTTAGACCAAGTGAAATCAGGTCCCAGTGTGTTGGTGCAGGTGTTGTCCACTGCTTTGCCCCTAAGGATATAATCTGCTCACCATCTTCAAACTCAAGGCCAATTCTAATGACTAACATTAAGAAGAATGCCTTTTTATATTTCAAAACTGATGGGTTGTTCTGTTGTTCTTGTTCTGCTGGTTCTTTGTTTTTCCTGTGGTTTAAACCAGCCTCTGATTCTTGACAAGGATGACTCACATGTGCTGTCTGGTTGGACCCATTCTTTACCCTAGATGTGAACAATCCCAGCAGGGAACTCTCTCTGGAATATTAAAGAGTAGGGTTTAGATAAATTATAATAGTTCAGATGTACATTAAAACCAGTAACTCCTATCAAGTGAGGAGATAATACTTTTACTAGAAGAGGAGGTTAGAAGATAGCCTGGGACCTTGGTCTGGGTGCAGCATTATACTAACCAGTGATCAGGCTCTTCTGAAGAATAAAAGCCTGTCTTTCCATCTTCCCTGGAATTAATTCTACTCTTGTAGTCTTCCTATTCACCCTACTATAACTAGCTTACATTTACTGAATACTTAGCATTTGATAACCACCAACCGGAGTGCTTTGCATGGTTTATCTTATTTAAAATCTTTACGACCAAAAATAAGGAAAATTATTTTCTGGGGTCTTTACATGTAGTAGAAGCAGATGATATATAACTACAGTTAACTACAGTTTAGATTTTTCAAGTTTTAAAAAACTGTGTTCAAACTTTTTTGACTATGGCCCTTCTGTATTGTTTGGAATAGAAAAATGCAAGTCTATCACCCCACAAAACTTGTTTCAGACACCCACACATACATATATTAATACAATTTTTTGGCCAATATTCAATGCTTATGATTTATTTTTCTATTCCAAACAATATAATTTTATTTAAAAAAAAAACTAGACTGGTTCTTGACCATCTAAATGGATTTTATTACCCAATAATGAGATTAATAAATAGCAATGATGTTCTGATGTTATCTAGAAATAGTCAGCTGGATATGCTTATGCTATGATTATGCTTTATAAAATTTGTATATCCTTAATAGATTAGGACCAAAAGAAAATGTAGAAAAGCATTTTAACCCAAATGTTTACCAAGCATCCTTCGTGTGCTGAGCATCATGCTAGGTTATGAAAACATAGAATTGAGCAATTGTAGGGACAGTTTACTCCTTTTCAAAAAGAAACAAAAGAGGTCATCTACCTTAGTATCTATACTTTGCATAATTTGTTAAACTGGCATTTTCACCTAGGGATGAAATTTTGAAGATCATATTTTAAAGGCAAGCCAAAAGTAAGGCAAAAACAGTCACTTACCTAGAGATAGATGAGACTCTGTCAAGTTTTTCTTTGTCCTCCTTGTTTTTGAGTTAGCGGGTCGGAAAGAGCCTAGAGCAGACAGAGCAAGATTCATTAACAAATTTATGACAAAAATTTAACACTTGTTTAGGGTAGGGTATGTTTTAATAAAGAGTTCATTTTTCTCTTTAGGAGGTAAGTCAGTGAAAAATAGTGGTCGTTTCTTAACATGAATCTTTGCTGCTTTCAACTAGGTGTCTGTCTTGTTAGTTCCACTCATACTTCTGTTAAGCCTCTCCCTTCCCCTTCCCCAGATCTTATTGTGGGCTGTAATAGAAAGAATTCATTAGGTGGTCAAAATATAAGAGATAGTTTTTGCCATTAAAAAACAAAGCAAAACACTCATTTCCAACCTCTTTCTGATACGCAATTAGAAAATATTCTCATATGAAATTTTTAGACTGTGAAGGTACACTTCATAATTATATGAAACTCATTTATCACGTATCTTCATACATCTTTATATTCTACCATGTTCTCAATGCTATGAAATCTAGAATATAATATTAGGACTAGCCTTGAGAGTTGGTAAAGGTTAATTTTTACCTTTACTAATATGTCTATCTTATGTTGATTAGCCTGTTTAGAAAATTGCTTATCGGCATCTGTTAGCATGCTGGAGTAGAGAAATGTGGGTTTCAGCCTTAGTTCTACATGAACTAATGTTATATACCAGAGCAGGTCACGTAGTATATCTTAGCTTCCTTCTGGTCTGAGATGAAAGATTGGACCCAGTATTCTCCAAGGGATCATAGAGCTCTGTGCTCTAAAGCTTTCTGTCTTAAAAAAAAAAAGCAATCAGAGTATGGACCTGTTACTAACTCATTATGTATACTGACAATAATTGAATAGATTTTATATGAGGAATAATACCATCTGTGCCCATGTTTTTGTTTCTTTGCCTTTCTGTTTCAGTTATAACTTAGGAAAGGACTTTAGAATCATTGTCAGTTTATCCTTGGGAGATTTTTTGGCTGGCATTTCTTGGCTGGTTTGGTTACAGCTGAACATTGTTTTGTATCAGAAGGATCTTTGTACTTCGTTTAGAATCTTTATGATGTATAAAGCATGATGCAGCTACGTGGAAGTACTGCTGATAGTTCCGGTTTTTCTTCAATGGGAAGAAGTTTCATAAGATGGAAATATTAGAATTATTAACAATATGAAATAATTTTATATGAAGTGGTACTGAAGATTTTCTATCTCTTGGTCAATGAAGGAGAAAATTGGGAAAGTATTGGAAACAGAATCTAATGTCAGTATAGCGTGTTATCATGGGTAAGGTAGACAGACATGTTCCTTTTCAACATTTCTAGAATCCAAAAATAGGGAGTGTTTTCAGTCCACATTACATTATCTTTATGTTTATGAAAAGTTCATTTAAAGCACTTTTGAACCGACTTTAAGTCCTTAACTTCTCTTAAATTTTTAGGATGTTTGATTCATGGGAGATGATGGTTGTTGGTATATGAGGCTATTTTATAAGAATGCCTATAATCCCAGCTACTCGGGAGGCTGAGGCGGGAGAATTGCTTGAACCCAGGAGGCGGAGGTCGCGGTGAGCCGAGATTGCGCCATTGCACTCCAGCCTGGGTAACAAGAGTGAAACGCCGTCTCAAAAAAAATAAATAAATAAAAATAAAAGAATGTGATACTGATCTTAGCCGTTTTTGCTTTGTCAACCTTGACATACACAGAATCTTTGGATTTTTCTGAGTGGCTAGTGATCTACATAAGTTTACACAGAATAAGAGCATGATATGACTCTTTAGCCACTAGTCTTTAACATGAAGGTTTTTGAAGGTGGTTTGCTCTACCTTTATTTTATAAATCATGTTAGCTCTTTATAGTCTTAGGGTGGTTTTACCAAATGAACTTAAATTTCTTCTTTCCCCCAACAGGGTTAATCATCTCATTTTAGTGGAGCCTTGGGGTTTCCCTGAACGACCAGACCTTGCTAATCAAGACAGACCAATTCCAGTTTGGATCAGAGCCTTGGGAGCAATATTGACTCCTTTTAACCCTTTAGCTGGCCTAAGGATTGCAGGACCCTTTGGTGAGTGCTTATGTCCTAAGAAAGTAAAATGTTTATAGATTATCAGTGGAGGAGTATTCACTATCATTAGTCAAAATCTTAAAAACAAACAAGCCTGAACCCTTTTTATCCTCTTCCTTTAATAAGTACCATGTCTTGCACAAAGAGGAATACAACTAGGCTTTTTTCCTCAAAGGGGAGTCTTTATATTGAAATAAGTAATTAGTAAAGCGAGAAGGAGGGGAATGCTGAGGATGCCGTTAGTCAGTCCTGAATACTCTGAGAAAAGCCAGGCAAGCAGAGTGTTTTGGGGAGTATATAAGAAGCTCTGCTAGCCCAGGGCCTGGGAGAAGTGTAGCATGTTACCCTGTTGGTGAGCATTGGAGAGCATTTGGCCAATTGATGATACCATTTGGGAGATCCCCTGGGGATAAAAGATACCACCACACTCACAGATTTCCCTTATCCAGAATGTTGGAAAGATAAAGGTATTTTTTCCACAACGTTTTGGAGACTCCTGATACATATTTCTGGTCATATTTTGAGGTACCCGTGTTTAGTTCCTGATTGACTTTTATTTCACTCTCAGCTGCTCTGCCTTAGCCCTATAGCCATGGGAATTTTCTTCCCTCACTGTCACAGATAATGATGGTTCGACCCTCGGCCTTTCTCCCATACAACTTGTATGAGTTTGGAGTACTTTTAGTTGTAAGTAATTGAATACCCAGTGGCTTAAATTTAAGGCCTTTTATTATTTCCCTAATAAGCAATCTGGAAATAGGTTTTAGCACTTGTTCTAGTTGTTTGCTCATTGGTGTTAAAGTTTGGGTCTGTGTCTGTGATTTTCTTGACCTTTTTTCTCACGGGGTTTGATGCCTGCCATGGCATTAAGCACCATCTCACAAAACAGCACCCTGAGCAAAAAGAAAGAAAAGCATGGAAAATGGTCCTTCTCTCCATAATGCTTTGTCAGGGAAGAAAGTTCTCCCTGGAAGGCCCCAGCCGACCTCCCATTGTGTCTCTCTCCACTCCTAGTCCTTCCACCAGCAAAGAAAAATTTTCTATGACTGACCAGTCATGATTTGTTCCCAGGGCCTGCTTTCCTGGGCACATTGCTGCCTAATTGATACTATAGAAAAGATGGGTTCTAGCTAGGTGCCATGGCTCATACCTGTAATCCCAGCACTTTGGGAGGATGGGGTTGGCAGATCACTTGAGGCCAGGGTTCAAGACTAGCCTGGCTAACGTGGCAAACCCCATCTCTACTAAAAATATAAAACGATTAGCTAGGCGTGGTGGCACACACCTGTAATCGCAGCTATTCGGGAGGCTGAGGCATGAGAATTGCTCAAACCCGGGAGGTGGAGGTTATGGTGAGTTGAGAGCATGCCACTATACTCCAGCCTGGGCAACAGAGCAAGACCCTGTCTCAGAAAAAAAAAAAAAGATGGATTCTGTTAGCAAGAAAGAGAAGAGGCATGGGGGTGTGGATGAGGGTATGGGATTAACTATCATGCAGGTGACTACAAATGCTGTTCCCCTTTGCCCAGCCCTGGCCCCTTTTGGTCCTAGTGCCTTCTCTTTGGATTGGGAGAGCAGTGGAACTGCAGGACTTAGAGGAGGGTAGGGGGGTTGAATTGGTGACCACACTTTACTCCCTCAGTACTCTTACAGATGGCACATTTTGCCATCTGCAGTCTTGAAGCCCTCCCCAGTAGAGCCACTCCTTATGTGCCTGGTCCTCTTCTGGTAAACTACTTAAGAGCTTCATTTAGTCTTTATAGTCCTGAAATATAAATGGATTTTACTAGATCACAGGTACACAAATAACAATTATGGGAAAAGTAAAGTATGAAGAGAAGTTAGGAGACAGTGATGGGCAAGGGAGGATACCGAGGAGAGGCTCTTTAAAGCCATGCCCTCAGCCTCCCATTATTGCTTGCACTTGGGCGTGGGGTGGTGATACAGAATCAGCTCATGACAGAATTTCTTGGTGGAGCTGTATAATTCCTCAGAGATGGGATTAAAGGGCAAGTAGAGAAGTAAAGGCTTGCTGGAGTCATGGGGTAGTGGCAGCAGAAAGGGACGCCATTCAGTCTCTGGGGCCTCAGAATGAAAAATTGTGACTAGAAGAAAGCTTCTGTTCTTCATCCTCTTTCCCTTGGGGGCTTTGCCCTGGACTTTTTCTAGAGTGGGGTTGTGGGTGTCACCATGGATGACCTTAGCAGGGAGTCTTGCTAGTGTCCCAGGAAGAAACTGAATGTATTTTCATACAGAACAATTTACATATTACCAATTTACTTCATTTAGATGCTAATGTGTTATAATTACAGAAGAAATACAAGTTAATACATTAATTTTATGTATGAGCTACTCATTGGCCTTCTAACTTAAATGTTTTTGAGGCCCTAAAGCATATCTGTAAGTCAAAATACAATACTCTTTAATTTTTATATTAATATTTCTTTGGGGAACTTTAGGAGGACTCCTATCAGAATGTGTGCTTTTTCCCACCTGCAATATGTATTCGTAGGTATGTGTGCACATAACACTCGTTACACAGGTAAGCACTAAAACTCTATATTATTTAGTTGATAAGTTAATTATACATTTTTAAATTTCCTGTTAAATAGGTTTAAGTCTAGTGCAGCGTTTAAGGCCTGATTTCAAACGGAAGTATTCTTCAATGTTTGAGGATGATACTGTGACAGAATACATCTACCACTGTAATGTGCAAACTCCAAGGTGAGGGTTAGGAGTCTAAATTTACTCTGTGTGTGTGTATGTGTGTGTGTGTGTGTGTGTGTGTGTGTGTGTGTGTGTGTTTTATACTATTTTTTAAAAAATATATCTGATTCAGAAGATTTTTATCAGTAGTTAAATTTAAAAGGACAAAATGTCTAATATGTCTTAATTTATTCATCTATTCTTAGAGTACCTACTGTATAAAACAATGTGCTGAGTTCTGATGGGAGATTAAAAAGTAAGATGTTCACGCTTCCCCCAAAATTCTTATGGATAAGTTGAGGAAGCATTGGTCTTGGGCATCTCCAAGAGATGGTTTGAGTTGAGAGTTAAGGAATTTCACATTTAAAGAAGTATTTCCCAAACTGAATATAAATAGTTCATCAAAAAAAAAAAAAAGAGAGAGAGAGAGAGAGAAAGGTGCTGGATTAAACAAAAGTAAGTGGTTGTCTTTACTATTAATCCTCTTAGAACCTTTACTATACCAAAGGGTATTGAATCTCCCAAGTGAATGGGAGATGCTGTGTAGTATTTTTCAAGTTCATTCGATGGTTGTACTCCTGAACAACTCTAAACATCTTTAGGTCAGCATTAGAAATGCAGCTGCAGAGGGTGAGGAGTAAGTGAAGGATTCTGCCTGTATTTTGACAGTGATTAGAAGGAGAGAAAGAATCGAGCATAGTAGCCAGAGGGAGCAAGAGGGTCAAATGTATTTTTTTCTTTAAAATATGACTTATGAATATTGGGTGAAAAGTACCAGTGGAGAAAACAGAGCCTGATGATAGTGGGGAGCTAGGAGGATGCTGAATGATAAGGCCCTTGAGTTTCTGGGAGGAGCATCAAGAATAGAGTGCAAAGATGAGGGCCACAGTTCTCATGCTATGTTGTGTCCTGGAATTATTGGGGGTGCTTGTTAAAATGTGACTCCTGAGGCTTATTTCTAAGACACAGATTAGCATTTCTGGGTTGCATCTCTAACAAATACTCTGGTGATTCTGTATAGGTGGGCCATGGAGCATACTTTCTCATCCTTTCTAAGACCCGAGGTTTGGATGAAAGGCTAAGCGGCGAGTTGCAGAGACAGCCTCCCTCCCTTTTATTTCCTCCCTCACTTTTGGCAGAAAATATGTACACCTACTTTATTAAAAAGATTGAGGCCATGGCAGCTATTTATAGGTGTAGCTGTAGTTTCAGTCTTTTTAATAAAGTAGGTTAGAGGTTCTCTGCCAAGAGTTAGGGAGGCTGGAGGTTCAAGGTCCTCAAGAGATTGAGGTTTTGTGACTTGCTAGGCAGTCAGGTCTGGTGGATTCGGTCTACACACTTTATTGACTTGTTCCAACAGTTTTGTTTTAGGGGTCTGCCCCAGGAACCTCATTCATTTTCCTGATCAGTCTAAGTTTTACTCTTCGCGTGCTCTCATTTCATGATTACATGTGTTCATGTAGTCCTAGTTTGTTACCTTTCTTGTGGTGAGACTTGAATTCTTCATAAAAGGCAAGTTAGAATGATGTCTAGTTCTATAAGAATAGCAGAGTAACAGCAAAATAGACTATCCTGAGAGTTCCCAAGAATATATCATCTGAGTTTCTTCTTAACTTGATAATGGTTTTGGCATTGCAGGTGAAATGCTGGTGCCATGAACCTGGGGATAAGCTACCTTCTTTCTACATCAGTTTAAATAAAGGTGAAAATACATATTTTTAGCTGCTATCTCCACAATAAATAATTTAATAAATAGAGAATTGGGGTTGTACATTTTGATTTAGAAGAAAACTTAATCAGCTAGTTCATACAGCAGCCTTGCTTATCTAACTTGTTCCTTAAACTGTCTTGTAAATTATTTTCTATTTAAGCTGAGGATTTTCTTAAGTGCTGGAAAAGCTAAGTATGAATGTGTTTTGATAGAAGTGACAGTGCAGTGCATGCTCATTCCCAAAAATCATACATTGTGATTTTTCCTTGTCATTAAAGTGGTGAGACAGCTTTCAAGAATATGACTATTCCTTATGGATGGGCAAAAAGGCCAATGCTCCAGCGAATTGGTAAAATGCACCCTGACATTCCAGTTTCAGTGATCTTTGGCGCCCGATCCTGCATAGATGGCAATTCTGGCACCAGCATCCAGTCATTACGACCACATTCATATGTGAAGACAATAGTAAGTGTGTGGCTTGATTTGGGTTTTTAGATACAGGTGAAGTCTGTTTTATTATCTTTCTTAAAAGAGGTTTTTAGGTCATACTCATATTGCAGGTCATCTGAGCTATACCTGCAGCCTCAATCAGGGGCCTGATACCACATGTGATGGGTGAGGGTTAGGGTTTGGACTGCACACATCTTCATGTGCAAACAGTGAACCACCTTTCTGAGTGAACTTTCCTGTCCCTAGAACCACAGCATTAGGAGAAATGGACAGAGGTACTAGTCCCGTAGCTCAGGTAATTCCCACCTTACAAGGCAGCACATTCTCACTTTTTTTAGTTTCTCTGTTGGCAATTTATTAGTGGTCAATTTAGTGTTTTTTGCATATTAAAATTGTACTAAGATTCAGTAGATTTTTATATTCTCAGATCCTTTTAATGGAAATACTTAACATTTACTATAGATTATTGTTACTTTTTATCATGTGTTTTATTTAAATATAGTGGCTCTCACTTTTATTACTAAGTGTCTTTGAGTATATATCATTGTGTTTTATTAAATGCTTTTACTCACTAACCATCTGAATACTTTTTCTTATCCAGGCTATTCTTGGGGCAGGACATTATGTATATGCAGATCAACCAGAAGAATTCAACCAGAAAGTAAAGGAGATCTGCGACACTGTGGACTGAACACGCTAAAGCTCTTACGGGAAAACCTGGTGACTGATAGAATTGTTCAGCAATAATGCATAGTCTATGCTGAAGAGTAATGAATACAACACAAGAACCAGACAGCCTTCTTGACTATACTTTGCACGTGTTTTCTTTATGAATTCACTTGCACATTTAAACCAGTTAGTGCCTTCTAGAAGAATGGCTTTCCTTTCTCCTACACAAAATTGAAATATACAAGTCTCTAAATTTAATACCTTCAAATAAAAGGTTGTTTGTCCCTTTGATGTACTGAAAAACTGTAATTTTTCAGCTGAAAATTTTTTAATCTAACTTTGCTAGTCAGATACTTTCTATATTGCAATCTATATTGCCAATTTTGGAAGTGATTTCTGAGTCTCTAATGTTATACTGTAAAGGTGCACTTTATTTTGTCTTCTTAATCAAGTATTTATTGTGTCTAATAACTGATAATCTGAATTCAATGTGTTTTTATGTCAAAATTTGTCAGTTTAGGATATTTCACTTTGTTTTTGAAATGAAGTGACAAGGCAGATTTTTGCTTAAAGGATGGGAGTTGATCACTAGCATAACTTTTCTGGTTTTCCTCTTTTTTATATTTAAGGCTGCTAAGCCTAATTCAGCATCTTAAATGTGGACTATCCTGACATACACAGTGTATAACAACATAGTTCCTTGGAACCTTCTATGTGTGGTATAATTCTGCACTTCCAAGGAGCATGACTTCAATAATTCAGTGATTCAGGTACTGAAAAGCCTCAACTAAAAGGCTGTCCTTTGTTTCCCCTTTTAATACTATTCTTTTCCATGACCCAGGATGCAGCAAGTGGAACAAATTTCTTCACCTAAGGGGATAGTAAGACTGTTACTTCCTATTAAGCCAAATAATATATTTTTGTTAACATCTAACTTTCGTAGATTGGTGCTAAAACTGTATACATTTAATCACTAAAATGTAAAAAAAGTGGTGCTGTTATGTCTCATGGCACCAGAAATGAGCTAGCACTTGGGTTTGGTTGGTTTGTTTTTTTTTGTTTTTTGTTTTTTTGAGACTTACTCTGTCACCAAGGATGGAGTGCAATGGCACAATTTTGGCTCACTGCAACCTCCGCCTCCCAGGTTCAAGCAATTCTCCTGCCTTAGGCTCCTGAGGAGCTGGGACTACAGGTGCACGCCACCATGCCCAGCTAAGTTTTGTATTTTTAGTAGAAACAGGGTTTCACCATGTTGGCCAGGCTGGTCTTGAACTTCTGACCCTGTGATCTGCCCGCCTCGGCCTCCCAAAGTGCTGGGATTACAGGTGTGAGCCACTGTGTCTAGCCTTAGCACTTGGTTTTGTTGTTGTGTTGTTGTTTTATTAAGAGTATTGTATTAATTAAATCATTACATATTTGAAGTGATATTACAAAAATGCTAAAAGATTGATTGAACTTTTTTTTTTAGGAAATGCAATCAAGTGTACATTTTTTTTTTTTGCAGTTTTAAAATTAGGAAAACTTCTTTGAAACTGTGAAAAAGCTCCATGTGGCAACTGGCTGCTGAGAGAACCCTTCACTAAATAAATAAATAAATAAATAAACAAAAACTGAATAGGATTGTCACCAACAAGGCATCTTTGGCTAACATTGCTTGTCTAGGAGAAAGGTAGCTATGTAAATAAATAACAATGAACTAGAGCAAATAATGGTTTAATGGTTTTGTTTATTGCATTTTTAAAATGATTAATTAGGGAATTTGTAGTTGTTAGGAAATGTAAGGTTTTATCACTGTTGATTAACTGCCAGAAAGACTGAATGTTCTATTTTCAACATTTCTCCCCCACTAAAGAATAAGCAAATCATACTGACGCATAGTATAAACATCTTCCCAATGAACAATTTGTCTCACTTGTCAGATTAGGTTAGTGCAAGAAGGCAACATGAGAATCACGATGTGTTGTCTGATTTCTCTACCTTAAGAACAATAGTAGTCTTTTTAGTTAGTATCTTAGATGGCCAGGTTTCAAACCTGTATGTGGTACAAATAATTCGGGTAATATTTTTGTTTTACATACTCTCTAATCTCAATTATCCTTTGCTGGGAGAATGACAGGTTTCACTTACACAGGAAGGTTTTTGTGCAGGAAACTTGGTCCCAGCCCTTGGAGGGAAGAAGTTCCTTGGTTTACTTAGTAAATAGAGTTTCTGGCCACAGATGTGCCAAGTGATTCAAGAAAAAGATATGCCCAAATATAAAGTGAAACTTAATTTTCCTACAACTGAATTTGATTTATTTGAAAGATGTTATAATGCTTTTTAAAGTTAGATTTTACCCTGAGGTGTAGTATGTGTAATTTTGTGAAGATTGAGCTAGAAGAGAAGTTCACAAACTTCACATTTTAAAAAATACAGTGGGTGCTAAATGTTTTCTTAAAAATCTATTACAGCATTTGATCTTTGCTTACTTATGCACAGTGTGCTTTTATTTTACAGAATAAATTTTACTGTGATAGTCAAAACGAGACAGCTGTATATTTTCTTGAGTCTTTTATATGGACCAGTTTCTGTTTAATAGTTAACTACAGGACCATGGATCCAGTGAATATTCAGTAAATGCTGCTGTTGTTCTTAGGGAAGTCTTCTCTGGGTGTTGTGGCCACCATGCATAGCTTTACCTGTGTCTATGCATTCCATTAAGATAACTTCTGTTTTATATTTTTTCTTCTAAGACTAATTTTCCAAAAAAAAATAAGTTGCTTAGGATTGGTTTTAGTATATTATTTGGAGAACACTTTTGAAATGCTTCGTTCATATGGATAATATATATTGAAAGGGCCATACCAGATTTCAATAAAACAAGACGTTTTTCCTGTACCAAGGTACTAGAAGGAATAAACAAAAATAACCAGAAGGTCCTAGAAAAAAAACAATGTTGAAGGAGGGATAACCTATTAAATATTATAACATACTGTTAATATGAGAAGTCTAGCAATTTTATATATGATAAAGGAAGCATCTCATTCATAGAGAAAAAGGCTTTAAAAATGGTGTTGAGACAAGTGTGGTTAACCATCTGGAAAAGAAATGAAATTGAATCCGTTTTTCACAGAGTACACAGGATAAAATCTGAATAGATCAAAGACCCAATTTTAAAAATGAAAATCTCTAACTGGAAGAAAACATAGATTAATTATTGTATAATCGGCAGTGAGAAAAACTTTTCTAGGACTCAAAATTCAGCAGCAATATAAAAATTTATATATTTAACTAAAAAGAAGAATTTTCAGCCAGATGCAGTGGTTCATGCCTGTAATCCTGGCATTTTGGGTGGCTGAGGCAGAAGGACTGCTTGAGACCAGGAATTCAAAACCAACCTGGGCAACCTAGTAAAACTGGCTCTACAACAACAACAAAAAAATTAAGTACCTGGGCTGGGTCCCACCTACTTGGGAGGCTGAACTGGGAGGACTGTCTGAGCCCAGGAGTTTGAGGATACAGTAAACAAGCCAGTGCACTCCAGCCTGGGTGACAGAGAAGAAGACAAACTTTTTTGGATAGCTGAAAATATTTGCAGCTTTTATCACAAGGGGCTAATTGTAGCCCTATATATGAAGAATTATAAACTTTGAGAAGAACCAGAAGACTAGGCAAAAAGATATGAGCAGTCAGTTCACAGAAAATAAAATGCAAATGACCTTTAAACATATGAGGATATGCATAAAAAGACAAATGCAAAATAAAATAAAATAATGGAAATACCTTTCTTACCTGTCAGATTGGGGAAAAATCCAAGTTAGGCAATGCAGTCTGTTGAGACAGTAGGGAAACAGGCGCTCTTAAGAAGTACAGATCCCTGTGGTTGGTGTTTGTTAATAACTAGCAAAATTGAATGAGTATATCCTTCAACCTGGCAGACCTGCTTCTAAGAATATGAGATGCATTTGCAAGAATATAAAATGGTATATGCACAAAGATCTTGATTACAGCACTATTTCTGACGGCTACAGAAGCCAACCAAATCTCCACTGATAGGGGATTGATGGAAGAAACTAGGGTGTATCTATACAATGGAGTACTGCACAGCTGTAGAAAGGACTGCGAACTATTTTTGTAGTTCTAATGTGGAGAAATCCCCAGTATATAGGAAATGAAAAATGTAAATTACAGAACAGAATGTATGGTGTGCTATCTGTTGTATAACAGAGACAAATGGAAAAACAATTGGTATTTGATTTTTTTTATAAAGCAATAGGATTAGTTATACCAATAACTAATAAAATGATCCCCTTATTAGTAGTGGTAGAGAGCTATACAAGGATGGCAGCTGTTTCTGTATCTTGTGTACCTTTTACTTGAGACCTTGTCAATGTTTTATATAATAAACATTTTTTGAAAAGGCAACTCTTAAAACTAAAACAGACTTAACAGTGTGTCAAGTTGGTGGTATAGCCCCACAGAAGAATTACTTCAAGTGACTTGAATGCCTAGTATTTTGTCTGTACTTTGCTAATGGAATATATCCTACAGACCAAACAACCACAAATAAATCTTAAACTGCATTCTAGTTTTATTTTTATCAATGATATTGGTAGTGTCATTTGGGTATTTATATGTGATAAAGAAAATATTTACTTGTGTCACTGGAATCAAAAGCCAAGATTTTTAGTGGCAGAGAAAAGAGACACAAGAATACAATCAATAATCATGTGATTTATTTTTATTTCTGGAAAATACATGTTGCATAGCTTTGTTCAGTGAAAAGGCCTAGAAATAATCATAGCTCAATGGTAAGGCCCACCGTTGCACCCAGACTGTCCCACTGAAAGGGGGCAGGGAAAGGACAAGATGAGTCTGGAATACTTTATGTCAGAAAGCAAGGAAGCAATGAGAGTAAGGTCGTGTCAAAAGGACCCAGGAGCTAACTTGAAAGGATTTCCATTGGCCAAAGATGGGTTAGTGTGAGCATCAGAAAGAGTATATTTTGAAACATGAAATATATAAAACGGCCCTGAGATCATAATGCTGTTTAAAAAACTAATTGGTCACCTTTGGAGGTTACTAGGGTGCCAGTTCAATATTTTGAAAATTGCTCATGGGTAAAATGAATCATTTATCCCAACTTCTTTGTGTATCAGGTTACCCTGATAAGAGAAAATTCTTCATGTAAGAATTAGGTAAATACAAGAGGAATGATAAGATTAGGAAATCAACATTTTGCCACCTCTAATGAAGTAACAGATCTAGCTGCTAAAAGCATGAGATAAAAAGTTGATGAGAAACATTTATTGGATAGCTCAGGTTCATAACATCTGAACCCAGTGATCAATCTTAGTATTACTGACAAAGGAACAATGAGACATGCTTCTGATGTGTTGCAAAGCAAGAACCCACCACCATGATGAATTATTGCCTAAAACAAACAAAATTGAACCTGAATCTAATCAAGCCTCTACATCTAAGGATAAGTAAAAACACACAGGATTACATGGGAGGCCAAGGTGGGCACATTGCCTGAGCTCAGGAATTCAAGACCAGCCTGGGCAACACGGTGAAACCCATCTCTACTAAAATACAAAAAATAAGCCAGACATGGCAGTGTGCGCTTGTAGTCTCAGATACTTGGGAGGCTGAGGCAGGAGAATTGCTTGAACCCGGGAGGTGGAGGTTGCAGTGAGCCAAGATCTGCCGTTGCACTCAAGCCTGAGCAATACAGTGAGACTCTATCTCCAAGCACACACCACACCCAAACACATACACGCACGAGACTGAAGAACACATTAATATGCTAAATCCAGAATGTGGGAAGTTCCATAGGACAAATAATCCAGTTTCTTCAACAAATTGAAGCTGCAAAATAAAAGTGTTAGTAGGACTTAAAGACTTGGAGAAACTTAAAGGACCTTGTTTGGATCCTTATTTGAAGAAAACAAACTTAAAAATACAGTTTTGAATTAGAGAAAGAAAAAATTTAAAAAGAGAAATTAGAGAAAGCAATTAGAGAAGGGTTTATAATGGACTGGGTATCAGATGATATTAAGGAATTACTAATTTTATTGGGTGAAATAATAGGATAGTGATTTTTTTTTTAAAGCCTTCACCTTTAGAGGTACATAGAGTAGTATTCATGGTTGACATTTTAACTAGGATTTAACCTGGAAATACTCCAGGAGAAAAAAAGTCAGTTGTCAGAAAATAGATAAAATGAGCAGAATGTTATGTTGATGCTGGGTGACAGACACATAGGGGCTTCTGTAAGGTCTATTCTATTTCCTTTACTTTTATGCATGTCTAAGGATTTCCATAGTAGAAATTTAAAGAATAAAAGAGAATGGGAAAAGAGATTGGAGCATGCCAGTATGGACAACTCTCTAGGCATAAAGAAAGAGCAGAAAGTGGGTAATAGCTGGAGGGAATCCTTGTGAATAATCCAGCAGAAAGTGGGGGGAAACATAATGCAGGAGAGCACAGCTGGGGTGATGTATCAGCAAGGCTAAGGGCAAATAGGAATACTCTCTTATACTGTAGGTGGGCTGCAATAGATAACAGCCCCTCATTTAACAATACTCTATATAGGAAAATTATAAGTGCTTCATACCACTGACAGCAATTTTGTTTCCAAGTTTCTATCCCACATATACTCCAGCTTCAATATGCATAGACATCCACGAGATGTTCATTGCAATATGGTAATATTAGAAGTCACAAATCAAACATATAACTGATTAAATTACACTACATTCATACACTGGAGCTGGAGTATTATACAGCCTTAAAAATTGAGTTAGATCTCTATATCAAAGTGGCAATGTGGAAAATTTCCAAAATGTCTTTAATGGAAAACAGAACTACCAAAATGCAGAATATTCCTTGTATATATTCACACACACATGTAAACACATACAGAATAGTGTGTCTACAAAGTTATATAAAGGTATACTTAACACGACACGCCTGTATATATGTATAGACATTTTGAGGAGGGTAAATATGTACATGAGTTTGTCAGCAGTGGGTTAGCTTTGGAGAGGGACAATTCTTCAGTTGGATATGCTTTTGTAAACCTTGGATCCTTATATATTCATTATATTTTAATGAAAATGTAAAATATAGGCTGGGTGAGGTGGCTCACGCCTGTCATCCCAGCACTTTGGGAGGCCGAGGTGGGCGGATCACCTGAGGTTGGGAGTTCAAGACCAGCCTGGCCAACATGGAGAAACCCCATCTCTACTAAAAATACAAAATTAGCTGGGAGTGGTGGCGCATGACTATAATCCCAGCTACTCGGGAGGCTGTGGCAGGAGAATCGCTTGACCCTGGGAGGCAGAGTTTGCGGCCATTGCACTCCAGCCTGGGCAAGAAGAGCAAAACTCTCGTCTCAAAAAAAAAAAGGAAATGTAAAATACAGAAAAACCTTGGTTAGTATGAAATAGGTAAGAAAATAACTAAAAGGTCTTACTGTGCTGTTCTCTGTGTGTGGATGTACAGATCCAGACTAGGAGAAGTGGGACAGGTGTTGAATATATGGCAGGTTGTGAGTCTCAGTAATTTAAATATTAGCAATAGAACTATAAAGTTATAACTGGTCTGTCTGTTCTCGCTAACTAAGAAACACAGTACCAATACAAAACTGCCCTTTTTATTTGTCCTTTTGCTTAAACTTGTTGAAAGGAGCAACTGAATTAGAATATATACTTCTCTCTATCTCTCTGTATATTAAGTTTGCCTGTTTTTCTATGTCTCCCCATCTCGCGTGCACCATTATATCTCTCCTGTTGTTTTCCCTAAAATCCTTATTTGTAAAAATGTTTTATTAATTTAGAACTAGTTGGCATTTATTTGCCTGTTTGCTGGCTGTAGCCTGGCTTTAGAATCATTTAATTAGATTAGCTCCCAGATTTAAAAAATCAAAACATTCTTACCAGTAGTTTTTCTAAGAGACATGGATGAGGAATGTATTCTACCATGTTTTTTAATCCTTAAAAAATGTTCTGTATGTCCACTTAAAGCTTAAAAGGTTTCCAAGAGGTGCCTATTGTTTGAAAATTTAGAATAACTCCGTACTACTTTTTTTTAAATTAAAGTATTATATTCAATTGAGAGAAGGGTCACTTGATTAACAGATGTGAAGGCTGAGATTTCTTTAGCTGGTTTGCCACATTGTATGATTCTGAACAGTGTCTCCAGGACAAGTCTGAAAAACTGACCTGTCTCCTCCTCGAAGGAAATAGACATATTAGTCACAGTGACCAGGGTGGGAGACAAGTGCATTGTTTATCATGTTCATTATGGACGGTTTCCTAGTTTTTAACCTGTGACTGTTTTTAGAATTGGAAGTCACCGCAATGGAAATGATAAAATGTTGAAACCAAGAAAGCAGACACGAATGACTGGTATTTCATTGTCCTGTGCCAACCAGCTTACCATATTTCTGTTGGGCCTTATGAATGTCCCAATGGATCTTTAACATGTATCTGTTCAAGACTTGAAAATGCTCTTCTCCATGGGGTGGGAGGGGCACCAGGGTCAGAGGATATGGAGAGAAAAAGATGGCAGAGGAGGGAGGCCAGATATTGAGGACAACACCATGAAAGGGCCCGATTCTCTGGTTTAGACTGCTGAGGGACAGCTGTCCTGTCTCTATGGCCTCTTCCTTATCAAAGTTTTCAGTGATGATCTGAAGGAGGGAGCATCTCTGTGTTGCAGAATGACCTCTTAGCTTTAGTTTGCCAGCACCAAAGATGCCAGCAACTGACACATTTTCCTTGGCAGCTAAAGTGAGAACACCATGCCCTCAAGTGCAGCCTGCTTCAGCAAACATCTGAGCATGAGACGTGGATTGTACCAACTCACAGAGCATCAAGGCTCAAACTCTAGTGTGCCTGAGTCATCAAGGCTGCTTGTTGAAAATGCAGACTTGAGATATTATCCCCAAAAGATTCTAAATCTGCAGATCTGTGGGTGGAGCCTGGGAATCTACGTTTTAACAAGCACCCCTGCCCTCAACATCTGACACGGGAATGTTCAATTTTTTGTTTTGTGGTTTATCAGGCTGTTCATTTGGTTGGACTTTAACTACAAATGCTGTCTCTTGGTGGCACTTGAACTCTCAGTTTAATTATTAACACTTTATCCTTAGCTGTAGAAATTTGGGGAGAGATTAGACAGGCAGAAATTTGGGGAGAGATTATATCCACATTTTAGGGCGCCCTCTCTGGTTCTCCTTTCCAGGACTCATCCCTCATTTTGCAGTGGTTGTGGCTACCCTGAACTCTGTACTCTGGCTCTTGAAGCTAGAAGGGCTGCTGGTTTTCTACTACAGTTCTCCCCACCTTAAAACCCTGAGTTGCTTTCCCTCAGACTGAAAGCTGTGAAAATGCTGGTCTCTCTTTCAGATGTTAATCCCCTTCCTGAATCTCTTTGCTTGTGTTCATTCTCTAGTATCTTCAGGTGGTTTCTTGATATTGGCCACTATATACCTGTCTAGCAGGTGGGTTAGTCCCCATTGGACCGTATTCCACTGTACTGGAAGCAGAAATCCTGGATCACAGACTTTGAGACC